TCTCATGGTTGTACGATTTGTTCCGGGAACATTCCTTCAGAAAGAGCTATTGTTGTACGATTTGTTCCGGGAACATTCCTTTCAGATATTTCAGATATTTCAGATATTTCAGATATTTCATTGAAATGTTCAACATAATTGTAGATCATAGAGGTGCCTCTTGGCATATATATATATATATATACCTGGCTCTTCCAAAACATGGAAATTTTGACGCAAAATCGGGAGACCATTGAAGAACAAAGAGATTTCAATCTCCTGGTTTTTGAGGTAAAACTCCTACAGATTGATTGTCAGAAACCGCAACACGCGGAACTTGACGGAAGGAATCCTGCAATTCAGAAATAGTCTGAATCAGAATCGTCCACGTGAATCAGAATCACTTATTCAGAATTCAGAATTACTCAGAATTCGGAAAAAAATCAGAATTTGCACTTTGGGCGACAAATTCAAAACCGGAAAGAGCCACACCTGAAACTCAGAGCAAAACACCCGCAAAAAGCCCGCAAACTCCCGCAAAAACACGCAAACTCCCGCAAATGACAGAAAGACGGAGTTTCCAGCGAGCGCATGTTCAGTCAAATCTGTGGAATACCCACTCGAGTGTGCAGAGTTGCACAATTGCCGGGCTAGTGTACAGAGTTGTAGAATTGCGGGCCCAAGCAACGAAAAAAGACAACAAGACTTGCTTCCAACTGTTTCCTCCAAGAACCACTCCTAGTTTTTGATGTTCACTCCTGCCTTTTGCAAGCCACTCCAGCTTTTTGATTCATGCATTCGAACCACCTGAAACTCATAGTTTACAGACAGTCTTCTGGACAGAACCCGGAGAACCGCAAAACAGAGAAATAACCCGGAGACAGAGGACCCAGGCTGGGTATAACCCACTGAACGGAGACTTATAATTATGGCTCCAGAAGCCATCCAACTTCTGGCTGCTTTCCAAAAAAAAACCGGGAGTCCAAGAACGGCTCGTTTCCCCCCACCCGGATAGAGAAAAAACTCCCCATGGCACCGCTCCAGCGCCGGCTGATCGTGGGGTCGGTGGCCAGGGGAGTTAGACTGCGCCTTCAAGCTCTTCGAAGAGCTGAAGGCGGACGGGAAGTTGGACCTCGACGAGATTGCCGCGCGCCGAAGAAAACCGAAAAAAGATGATGGTCCTGTTTTTTCAGTTACCAAAAGGGTAAGAGAGAAGGCTTTTTTGTTTCCCGTTACCAGAAAAAGTAAAGAAACCCAAGATGATGGTTCTGCCGATTTTTATTACGTTTTCTGTTGCCACTCGTCCATGAATTAACCTTTGACCTGGGCAAATACAGTGACCCCTGCAAGATGGTCGTCCTAAGAGATATTGTCCCTTAGCCAGAAGGGTCCTGGGTCCCCTAAAATTGGACACACAAGAATGATTCACTGGAAGGCTTGTTGTAAGAGAACCAAAAACCGATTTCTCCTCCCTAAACTTCCATTTGCTGAACAGAATGTGTGTGTTTTCCTCGTCGGTTTTAATATGAATGTCTACTGGCAATATGTTGTTTTTGCTTTTTTAGAAGACTTAAGCAGATGATGGTTCCGCTTTTATAGCAAGCTCCCCGATCTGGGGGTAAAACGAATGAAAGCCATGGCAAAGGAACTTTACTTGGGGATCTGATTCATCATTATTGTACAATTCGCAGGTAGCTCTTCTTCCACAAAAATTGCAAAACCATCCGCAAGCTATGGGAGATTAAAGGGTTTCCGTTGTTTCTTACTTGGAATATTCAGGGCATTTGTACGTGCTGGTTTGAGTTTGGTACGTAAGTACGTAAGTGGAAATCCTTTTTAGGATGTCCAGGAGGATGATGGTTTCTCCATGTCTCTTCTCCATTTCTCTTCTTGAAAGCTCCAACTTTGAAGCTTGCTGATGGGGGACCCCAGGTATCAAAGAGGGATCCAAAAAAGTTGCCCGGTAAATTCTTGTTAGCATTGGACAGGGGTCCGAGCCATTCCTCTTTGAAGGGAACCTCCAAGATTGGCGATCGTTTCAATGGAAACCACTCGTCCATTGATCAACTTTGATTTGAGCAAATACGGTGACTCCTGCAAGCAATTGGTCGTCCTGAAGTATTGTCCCTTACCAGCCAAAAGGGTTCCAGGTCCCGAAACAACAGGGGACACCCGAATGCTTCCACCCAGATCGGAGGGTCTTACCCCAGACGATTCTTCCCCAGAGTTCTTGCCCCTTGAAATGGTTCACGTCGCTATGGTTTTTCCGGTTATGTGCATTTGGTGCCTTCCCCACTTGGACGGCAAACAACAGGAGGCACAATGCGCATCTAGTCCCCCACTTGGACAGATATCCTGGTTCGACGTAAAAACCCGAAAAAAATGCCAAACCAGGAAAACAGAAAACACGCACGCCGAGGTGTACAACTCCCTGCTGGATGGTTGCGGACGGCAACAGAAGCCCCAGAAGGCCATGGAGTACTTGAAGGACATGATCAGAGCCTTGGCTCCAACGGCAAAGACAGCCCAGACATTCCCTGCCAATTGCAGATGTTTGTTTTTGTTTTGCTGTTGGGTGGTTTTTTAAGGTCCCTTCCAATGGCTGAAAATGATATGTTGTCAGTTTTTGTTTCTGTTGGGTGTTTTTTTAAAGGGAACCTATCACTACCGGATGTGTGTGTGTGTGTTTTTGTTAATGTTTGTTCGGGGAATCGATTTCACCACTGAACTTGTTTTTATTTTGTCCAGGCGACTTAAGCAAATGGAGGTTCCGCAAGGCAACTGGGCAGTTAAGACCAGCATGTGCACGTATGGGATCGCTTGTCTGGTTGGTTTCTCTGCTTCATGGGAACCCCCCCCCAACAAAAATGGGGTCTTTCCATTATGTTTTCATATAGATTCACAATAGGCCGTAAAATCGTGCACCACGCATCAAGCACAATTCGCAACAACAAACAGGAATAAGAGAAAGTCGATAGACCAAATTGCATACGTTTCCTTGGGTTGCTCGACCTGAGCTTTCAAGCATGACAAGCACGGATAACTGGAACAGAGGTTTGCTCTGCATTTGACAAATATGTTGATGGGGATAGTGGAGGCGGGGCTTGACTACATTCAATGCTGAAACAAGTTGTTCGGTCTCTTGTCTGCCTGATCGTCAACAGAACCATGAGATGCAGTCCGCAGTTGTGGATGTCTCGGCTGATGTTGCGTAAATGGGTCCTTGGGTTCGGACACATCGTAGCGACTCACTCCCAAAGTTCCTGGACTACAACTTGTTGGGTTTGGACCATTCTACTTCTAGCGGCAAACAGTGAGGTGGCTGAACTTCTCAGGCTCCAGTGGTTTCATGGCAACAGCAAGCGAATGACTGGGGGATTGGGCGCCATAGCCACAGCGCAGAAGCGACACAGAAAGCCACGGCTGTGCGGCGCTGCTGTGGCGCTTTTTCCCCTCTCCGGGCCCAAAACCAATGCCGACAGGTGCCCAGTTTGGCAGCCTCTATTGTACTTCATGTTCAAAGTGAAGCCAGGAAACAAAGCGATTCGCTGGGTGGCTCCCAGCCATCCCCCTAGTTTTTTGCCTTTTCCTTTTCAGGGTTTAGTGGTTGGGTTTCCTTTTACCCCACTAGAGGTTTTTAACTTTTCCCCAGATCCGAAGAACGGACCGCCCCGGTCCCGGTCCCGGTCCCGTGGGATCAGTTCCGAAGAGGGACAGCCCAGTTGCTTCCTTTGGATACGGTGGACGAAATCCATTTCTCACCTGAGGAATGATGAAGCCGCGGTAAATACCAACAAACAAAGGTTTCAACCATGGCCTCAAAGTGGTGCGACATGGGTTTGGTCCTTCCACGCCCCTCCGATTCGGAATTTCGAGGCGTGGGCATCGCTCCGAGCAACTACACGCTGAGCATCATGGTAAAGCTGCTTGGCCGCGCCCGACGATTGAAGGAGGCCCTGAAGCTGGCCAACGACTACCGCAAGGCGCAGAACTTGAGAACGGGGGCCGTTTGGTGACTTGGGGGCATATGAGTCACAATCAAAACCCGGGTAGATGAAGGTTAGTGAGGGGGCAATCCCGACCATAAATGGTTGCGCCCGCCTTCTTATTCCTTTACATGGTTCGGGTAGATCGGTTTACTCCTGGGTTTTGATTATGACTCATATGTTGGCCACTGTCTCACCTCCTTTGGAGATCCCCACTGTTGAGCAAGTTTCGTCGGTCAAAACGAGTTCAGGAGACCTCATGGTGTGGACACCATCCCCAAAACTAGGGTCTCTAGTTTTGAGACAACGCCATGTGTCACCAGTTTGTTTGGATTGCAAAAAGTAAGCCTCCCTTCGGCTAGGGACGCGCGAGGGGAGGTTGTTTGGAGTCAACACAGTGACAAGGCCTAACAGCTGTCCAGCACGAGGTCAGGAGATTCAAACAGTATGTTTATGGATGAATACACCAAATCTGCATAGGAGATTCAATCAGTATGTTTATGGATGAATACATCAAATCTGCATAGGAGATTCAAACAGTATGTTTATGGATGAATACATCAAATCTGCATAGGAGGTTCAAACAGTATGTTCATGGATGAATACACCAAATCTGCATAGGAGGTTCAATCAGTATGTTCATGGATGAATACACCAAATCCGCATAGGATATTCAATCAGTATGTTTATGGATGAACACACCAAATCCGCATAGGAGATTCAAACAGTATGTTTATGAATGAATACACCAATTCCGCATCGGAGATTCAGTCAGTATGTTCATGGATGAATACACGAAATCTGCATAGGATATTCAATCAGCATGTTTGTGGATGAATACACGAAGTCTGCATAGGATATTCAAGCTGTATGTTTATGGATTTATGGATGAATACACCAAATCTGCATAGGAGATTCAAGCTGTATGTTTATGGATGAACACACCAAATCTGCATAGGAGATTCAATCAGTATGTTTATGGATGAATACACCAAATCTGCACAGGAGATTCAATCAGTATGTTTATGGATGAATACACCAAATCTGCATAGGAGATTCAATCAGTAGGTTTATGGATGAATACACCAAATCTGCATAGGAGATTCAAGCTGTATGTTTATGGATGAACACACCAAATCTGCATAGGAGATTCAATCAGTATGTTTATGGATGAATACACCAAATCTGCATAGGATATTCAATCAGTGAATTTTATGGATGAATACACCAAATTTGCATAGGAGATTCAATCAGTAGGTTTATGGATGAATACACCAAATCTGCATAGGAGATTCAAGCTGTATGTTTATGGATGAACACACCAAATCTGCATAGGAGATTCAATCAGTATGTTTATGGATGAATACACCACATCTGCACAGGATATTCAATCAGTATGTTTATGGATGAATACACCAAATCTGCATAGGGCGGCAAGCGAGACTCAAATCCCAAGTTCGGGTTGAAGGATGAACAAGATTCCAAGCTGTATGTTTCAAAGGGAACACCAAATCTGCATAGGAGGTTCGTCAGTATGTTTATGGATGAATACACCAAATCTGCATGGAATTCAATCAGTACGTTTATGGATGAATACACCAAATCTGCATAGGAGATTCAAGCTGTGGCATGGATGAACACACCAAATCTGCATAGGAGATTCAATCAGTATGTTTATGGATGAACACACCAAATCAGCATAGGATATTCAATCAGTATGTTTATGGATGAATACACCAAATCTGCATAGGAGATTCAATCAGTAAGTTTATGGATGAACACACCAAATCTGCATAGGAGATTCAATCCGTATGTTTATGGATGAATACACCAAATCTGCGTAGGAGATTCAATCAGTACATTTATGGATGAATACACCAAATCTGCATAGGAGATTCAAGCTGTATGTTTATGGATGAATACACCAAATCTGCATAGGAGATTCAAGCTGTATGTTTATGGATGAATACACCAAATCTGCATAGGATATTCAATCAGTATGTTTATGGATGAATACACCATATCTGCATAGAAGATTCAATCAGTAAGTTTATGGATGAACACACCAAATCTGCATAGGAGATTCAATCAGTATGTTTATGAATGAATACACCAAATCCGCATCGGACATTCAGTCAGTATGTTCATGGATGAATACACCAAATCTGCATACTAGATTCAATCAGCATGTTTATGGATGAATACACGAAATCTGCATAGGAGATTCAATCAGTATGTTTATGGATGAATACACCAAATCTGCATAGAAGATTCAATCAGTATGTTTATGGATGAATACACCAAATCTGCATAGGAGATTCAATCAGTATGTTTATGGATGAATACACCAAATCTGCATAGGAGATTCAAGCTGTATGTTTATGGATGAACACACCAAATCTGCATAGGAGATTCAATCAGTATGTTTATGGGATTGAAACACCAAATTCAGCCACATGGAGATTCATCAGTATGTTTATGGAGATGAATACACCAAATCTGCATAGGAGATTCAATCAGTATGTTTATGGATGAATACACCAAATCTGCATAGGAGATTCAAGCTGTATGTTTATGGATGAACACACCAAATCTGCATAGGAGGTTCAATCAGTATGTTTATGGATGAATACACCAAATCTGCATAGGATATTCAATCAGTGAAATTTATGGATGAATACACCAAATTTGCATAGGAGATTCAATCAGTAGGTTTATGGATGAATACACCAAATCTGCACAGGAGATTCAATCAGTATGTTTATGGATGAATACACCAAATCTGCATAGGAGATTCAATCAGTATGTTTATGGATGAATACACCAAATCTGCATAGGAGATTCAAGCTGTATGTTTATGGATGAACACACCAAATCTGCATAGGAGGTTCAATCAGTATGTTTATGGATGAATACACCAAATCTGCATAGGATATTCAATCAGTGAAATTTATGGATGAATACACCAAATTTGCATAGGAGATTCAATCAGTAGGTTTATGGATGAATACACCAAATCTGCATAGGAGATTCAAGCTGTATGTTTATGGATGAACACACCAAATCTGCATAGGAGATTCAATCAGTATGTTTATGGATGAATACACCACATCTGCACAGGATATTCAATCAGTATGTTTTTGGATGAATACACCAAATCTGCATAGGAGATTCAATCAGTATGTTTATGGATGAATACACCAAATCTGCATAGGAGATTCAAGCTGTATGTTTATGGATGAACACACCAAATCTGCATAGGAGATTCAATCAGTATGTTTATGGATGAATACACCACATCTGCATAGGAGATTCAATCAGTACGTTTATGGATGAATACACCAAATCTGCATAGGAGATTCAAGCTGTATGTTTATGGATGAACACACCAAATCTGCATAGGAGATTCAATCAGTATGTTTATGGATGAACACACCAAATCAGCATAGGATATTCAATCAGTATGTTTATGGATGAATACACCAAATCTGCATAGGAGATTCAATCAGTAAGTTTATGGATGAACACACCAAATCTGCATAGGAGATTCAATCCGTATGTTTATGGATGAATACACCAAATCTGCGTAGGAGATTCAATCAGTACATTTATGGATGAATACACCAAATCTGCATAGGAGATTCAAGCTGTATGTTTATGGATGAATACACCAAATCTGCATAGGAGATTCAAGCTGTATGTTTATGGATGAATACACCAAATCTGCATAGGATATTCAATCAGTATGTTTATGGATGAATACACCATATCTGCATAGAAGATTCAATCAGTAAGTTTATGGATGAATACATCAAATCTGCATAGGAGATTCAATCAGTATGTTTATGAATGAATACACCAAATCCGCATCGGACATTCAGTCAGTATGTTCATGGATGAATACACCAAATCTGCATACTAGATTCAATCAGCATGTTTATGGATGAATACACGAAATCTGCATAGGAGATTCAATCAGTATGTTTATGGATGAATACACCAAATCTGCATAGAAGATTCAATCAGTATGTTTATGGATGAATACACCAAATCTGCATAGGAGATTCAATCAGTATGTTTATGGATGAATACACCAAATCTGCATAGGAGATTCAAGCTGTATGTTTATGGATGAACACACCAAATCTGCATAGGAGATTCAATCAGTATGTTTATGGATGAATACACCAGATCTGCATACGATATTCAATCAGTATGTTTATGGATGAATACACCAAATCTGCATAGGAGATTCAAGCTGTATGTTTATGGATGAACACACCAAATCTGCATAGGAGATTCAATCAGTATGTTTATGGATGAATACACCACATCTGCACAGGATATTCAATCAGTATGTTTTTGGATGAATACACCAAGTCTGCATACTAGATTCAATCAGCATGTTTATGGATGAATACACGAAATCTGCATAGGAGATTCAATCAGTATGTTCATGGATGAATACCCGAAATCTGCATAGAACATTCAATCAGTAAGTTTATGGATGAATACATCAAATCTGCATAGGAGACTCAATCAGTATGTTTATGAATGAAGACACCAAATCCGCATCGGACATTCAGTCAGTATGTTCATGGATGAATACACCAGATCTGCATAGGATATTCAATCAGTATGTTT